CATTTCACACATTTCTTTTTCATTCTTAGTAGTCCTGTTCCCCATTCCCAATCTCTGGATTTATGCTTTATATGCAACTTGCTTTTAATGAATTTATTGAAAAGGCCTGGATCTATTTTACATTTGTCCGCTATAACTTTCTCAAAGTTCATTTCTACATCCCTCCCCACTGCTGTATAATTATTTCTTGCTTGTTTGTAGTGCTGGTATGTGTGCGGGTTAGACCTCTTCCAATATTGAACCCATTTTCTTGTAGTTTTCCTCAGTGGCCCCCTCTCTCAATTTCTGTTGAACCAATCCTGTTTTCTGGTCCTGCATCTCTGTTTTGTAATGAATGATGGTGTGCCTTCATCGTATATTTCGCAAAATTTGTCATACATCTTATTAACTTCCTTGCCTAGCAACAAATCTGTCCAATTAAACTCATTAAAGAATTTTCCAAGTTCAGAGAGAAAGAAGGGATCGTTATAGGGAAGTCGAAGACGAGTGCAGAAATCGAAAGGACAAGATACGAGGACAGGTTTACGAAGAAGGAAAGATTGGCAAAGATGAAGACCAGAGCTAACAGAAGAAAAGTGGGAACCCAGTTCGATAGCGACCTGCAACGGGTCCGCCACAAGAGTACCACGGAGGTGAAGGACTGGTGAAACATCAGGAACGAACTTACCCGCTATCTTGCGGATACGCTTCCAGATCTGTGGCAGAGGAGTTTCGGACGTAATAGTGGAGACATAAGATGCCCAACATACACGTTTAGCCGTACGGATGGCCCTACGGGCCACCGCACTTGCCTTCCGAAAGAAAAGAAAAGAATCGGCCGTCTGCCAACTGCGGTGTCTCTTCCAGGCTGCACGCTTACAGCGGACAGCCCGAGCACAGTCTGCATTCCACCAGGGAATGCACTTCCGTGGATCCTGAGAGGAAGAGCGAGGAATAGAGCAGAGGGCAGCTTCGAAGACAGTGTCATGAAAAAGGAGGAGAGAGCGAGGGAGAGGCAGAAGGGAGAGGTCAGAGAGAGCAGCACTGAGGGTGTGAGTGGGTGAAGTATTTACAGCGTTGTGGTTTGAAAAAAATTTGTAAGTGAAGCACTTGTTCCGGAAGTGTTCGAACGTTAACAGTTGTGAGTCGTGTGTAAACCGTTTTTTTATTCATAAACAGGGGGTTTGGCGGAGGCATGGAATCACTTTTGGGTCTTTGTTTGGATGACAGGCTGCACATCTTCAACATTCACCAACAACAATGTAACACTTGACAAGTCCAGTTCCTACCCTCACAAGATGCTTCAGCCTCGCTACAGAGCAGACAGCCAGATTCTGGCTGCATAGAACTTCCACACTTTCATCCCGCACTCGAGCTTTTTGACTTCACCCTCATTCAGAGTGTCACGCTCTACACACTCACCCCGTATCCAATCTCTCTACCTCAGGCCTAACTCGGATCTCTGCCCTGCTCCGGGCATCATCTCAACTACTACAACACTTCACTATATCGCCAACAAATCAACTGCTGTAATCAAGACTATACTAAATATGTATAAAAAATATGACTAAACTCTGTGTCTTATCACTCAAAACACATACATGTAAAGGTTTAAACTAACATTACAGGTATTACTGTTAATAGAGTAATGCATACTGTATACAAAATTTATCATCACAAATTACTAAATATAATTGCCATTATAGGGGGGTCCAAGGCTATGTTATGAATTAGGTTTAATGGCAAAAATTGAAAAGCTGAGTTATTGCAATCCCAGCTAAGCACAATGCTGCAGGATGCTTTTTTTCAATGAAGAGCCAATATTAAAATTCAATCTTCTGTCGAAAAACTTAACAGCAAAATCTTTAAGTTTTGCCAGTATAAACATGTATAACATTTTATTAAATAATGAAGATTATAATAAATATAAATAAATAATAAATAAATAAATATGTTTATTCAGGTAAGGTACATACATACAAGTGATGTTACATTAATGGATCAATATATAGATAGAGCTAGTACATACAATGCCTAAAGCCACTATTATGCAATGCGTTTCGGGCAGGAAAAACATTAATATCTAGAACTTAATACTAATTGAGCATAAAGAATAAAATGTGTTGAGAACAAATACAAATAAAGATAAAAAAAAAAAAAAAAAAAAGGGGAACATGACTGAAAAGCAGCACAAATACAATAGGTTGACAAACAGTGTTCATTAAAAAAAAATAACAGACATGGGTTGACAATAGAGGGGTAAGGTAGGTTACAGGGAATTTATTAGATAGTGTTTAGTTTTTATCTTAAACTGATTGAGAGAGGTACAGTCTTTAACATGGTTGGGAAGGTCATTCCACATTCTGGGCCCCTTGATTTGTAGAGCATTTCTAGTTTGATTAAGTCGTACTCTAGGAATATCAAAACTGTATTTATTTCTGGTGTAGTGCTCATGGGTTCTGTTACAACCTTCTATGAAGCTTTTGAGATCAGGATTGGCATTATAGTTTAGCATTTTATATATGTATAATACACATGAGAGAATGTGCAGTGACTTAATGTCTAACATATTCAGAGATTTGAGTAGGGGTACCGAGTGATGTCTGGGGCCAGAGTTGGATATTGTCTTAATAGCAGCTTTGTGTTGAGTAATTAGAGGACGTAAGTGATTTTGGGTATTAGAGCCCCAAGCACAAATACCATAGTTGAGATATGGATAGATAAGGGAGTAATAGAGAGTCACCAGGGCAGGGCGTGGTACATAATATCTGATCTTAGAAAGGATGCCCACAGTTTTTGAAACTTTTTTTGATATATTTAGAATGTGTCCCTGGAAATTCAGCTTGTGGTCAATAAGTAGATAAGGGAGTAATAGAGAGTCACCAGAGCAGGGCGTGGTACATAATATCTGATCTTAGAAAGAATGCCCACAGTTTTTGAAACTTTTTTTGATATATTTAGAATGTGTCCCTGGAAATTCAGCTTGTGGTCAATGAGAATGCCAAGGAATTTGCCATCTAATTTGTTACAAATTTGGGTATTGTTTATTTTGAGATTTATAAGACTAGAGGATTTATTGCCAAACAGAATATAGAAGGTTTTGTCAATGTTAAGGGTGACTTTGTTGGCAGTTAGCCAAAGATGGACTTTATTTAGCTCAGTATTTACTGTGGCATTTAGAGCAAGAGGGTCAGGACTGGAGTAAATGAAGGTTGTGTCGTCAGCAAATAGAATTGGTTTGAGGTGTTGGGAGGCATTTGGAAGGTCATTAATGTAGATGAGAAAGAGGAGAGGGCCAAGTATGCTGCCCTGAGGAACACCAATGTTGATGGGTAGGGTGGGAGAAATTGTATTATTCACAGAAACATATTGGAGCCTGTCAGTAAGGTAGGACTCGAGGTATTGTAGGGAGTGTCCTCTGACTCCATAATGATGTAATTTAAGAAGAAGGTTATGGTGGTTGACAGTATCAAAAGCTTTACGCAGGTCCACAAATAACCCAACAGGGAGCTCCTTTTTATCAAGAGCTGTATGAATCGAGTTAAGCATACTAATAAGTGCATCGTTAGTGCTTTTTTTGGGTCTGAAGCCATATTGGCAAGGGCTAAGTATATTGAGTTTGGCTAGATATGAGTAAAGCTGCTTGTATATAAGTTTTTCAAAAATTTTTGACAAGTTTGGCAGGATTGATATAGGTCTGTAGTTGTTAACATCTGTGGGGTCACCACATTTGTGGACAGGCGTTACTCTCGCTTTTTTTAGAATATCTGGAAAGGTTTGGAGTTCAAGTGACTTGTTGAAGAGCAAAGCAATAGCAGGGGCTAAAGATCTGGAGGCTTTTTTGTAAATTAAAGTTGGTATCTCCTCAAGGGCACCAGACTTGGTTTTAAGGGAAAGGATTATCTCATTGACGTCAGTGGAGTTAATAGGCTTTAGGTACAGAGACTGTGGATAGTTACCTGTAAGATAGTCCTTAATGTCAGTACTGGAAGATGGAATATCATTTGCAAGGGATGAACCAATGGAAGAGAAGAACCTATTGAACTCAATAGCAGAGTCAGAGGCTGAAAGCTGACCATCGTTATTAGACAGGAGAGTCGGTTTGTTATTTAAAGATTTCTTTGATCCCAATATTTGTGAAATTGTGCTCCAAGTTTGTTTAATGTTGCTCTTTATTTGAGTAAATTTATCTTCGTAGTAATTAGTTTTGGCTCGTCTAATTATCTTAGTTAGCAATAATGAGTAATTCTTTGAGAATTCTTTGGAGACAATTCCTAACCTATACTTCTTCTCAAGGTCGTGTTTTTTGTTAATGGATTTCAGTATTCCCTTTGTAAGCCAAGGATTGTTAAGCCTTTTGCAACTAGACTTTAATAAACTAGGTGGACACACCAACCTCCAGTACCTGACTGATTGATGAAGATTAAGCCACCCAAAAGGTGGCACGGGCATGAATAGCCCATAAGTGGAGGCCCTTTTGACCCATTACCAGTATCAATAGATGATACTGGAGTTCTGTGGAGGTGCGACTGCACCCTGCGGGACAGATGTCTCCCGTCGACCAAATGGATTGATTGATGAAGATTAAGCCACCCAAATGGTGGCACGGGCATGAATAGCCCGTAAGTGGAGGCCCTTCTGAGCCATTACCAGTATCAAGAGCTGATACTGGAGATCTGTGGAGGTGCGACTGCACCCTGCGTGACAGATGTCTCCCGTCCCAGTACCTGTTGACCAAGCCAGCGCTAGACTCGGTTGACACCCAAGGAGCCAAGTGGAAAATGCCAAGAACTGTCATGTGTGACCCCTGGTGATATGTGCATCTGGCGTGATATTAGTTCGGGATATTGTAAGCGGATCACCCGACGGTAATATTCCCACCAAATATGAACAAATCGCGAGGAGTGTCACAGTATCATATGATCTCTCTCTCTCTATTTCGTATTGTTCAAATCAGCTTTACGCATCTTTTAATGACCAGCGTGATCAAAACATCTCAGCTAGCGACTCAGAGGACTCACCTACTAGCGTGACTCATGGAGCTTCTCGCTATGAGAGGAAATTCATTTGGAGGAGCACCAACTCATTATGTTGGGTCGTGTTTACTATCATCAGCTGACTGCTGCCAGTGATACCAAAACCTTCTTAACTGCTGACCCAATAAAACAATGTTCTATGTGCTGATCTGTAAAATTAACACAATACATATGAAAAATATACGTGATTTTTGGCATCACACAGATGCCTATAATTATTTATTGATCCTGGAAGTATACTGATCACATCTGTAAGCCCACTGTGCTGGTAATAATTTTACGACATTCAAATACTGTACAATGAAGCGTTCGGATCATCTACACACAAACTCATATTTTTATATGGCTGGGAATACAGCAAAATAAGAAACAGCCAGTATAGTAATAGATTTCCACCACCAAACGGTCTAAACTTTAGACCTGTGGAGTTAGTTTAGACGCTAAAGGGTTAAAAGATTAGAGCCATGAGGGCACTGCCCATTTATTTATTTATTTATATCCAAGAAGGTACGTTGGGTGGGTTAAGAGGGTAAAAAAATAAAAAAAAAAATACAAATGTTTATTCAGGTAAAGTACATACATACAAGGGGTGATACAAATATTGATGAATTTATAGATTCATCAACATTTACCCGAACGCTTTGCGTAATAGTGACTTTAGGCATTGTATGTACTAGCTCTATCTATAAATCTATCAAATGAGACAAATAGGAAGCAAAATCAGAAATATTCAGGCACAGGCAGACGTGGAGAGGAGGGGTATAATGTATGAGAGAAGTCAAACCATGCAACACTACATGTATGTGAGTCAAAACACCCATTTTCTGATCAGGGGGAGAAAGATACTGGCAGTATGGTGCGGTATGTTCACTCACAAGATGAGTGGCGCTGCCCAATAAACTCGCCCCTCGGGGCAAAATTAAAATTAAAATTACTGGCAGTATGGGGCTTTAAATTTATTGAAGATTAAATTCTGCAGAACATGTAAATATATAAAGTTTCAAATATATAAAGTAAGTAAATATATAAAGTTTATATTAAAATATATAAAGTAAATATATAAAGTAAGAATTAACAGTAACAATTCCAAGTCCGAGGACTAGATTTAACTTAAAAGGTACACCCGTAGTAAGTATGAGACCTTAGCCTATAATGACATGGAAACTAATTCTGCAGAAACCTAAAGGTTAACTGGTACTAGAATTAAGGCCGAGTGCAAATGTGTAGTAATTATATAACACTAGGATATAACAGGCAGGACACAAAGAATAACTAATAAGTGAGAGACCACATAACACGTAATGTACCCGGCCAAGAGGCCGTAAAAGACCTAATGAATAAGGAGAAGGGGGTGTGACTACAAGTAGGGCTTACTAGCACCTAGACTGGGCAAAGTATTAGCTGCGGACAGCGGGACACTTGGGGACCGGCGCTGCACCCCCCTTCCCACATGCAGTGGGGGAGAAAATGGGACAACTGTGCAAAGCATGACGGGGGTACAAAGACAGCCGCTTGCAAAGGGGAGGAGGGTGGGAGTTTGCGAGGGCAGCGGCGAGGGCAGAGCCCCTCTGTGCCCCCGTATTTATACGGCCCCAGACTGGCCGCGCAACGCCGCGGGACGCGCTGCGCAAATGTTTCTTTCTCCCCCATCAGAAACATTATATTATGTTTTTTTTTTTTTTTTTTTTTTTTTTTTTTTTTTTTTTTTTTTTTTTTTTTTTTTTTTTTTTTTTTTGAGATATATACCCCGCTTTGCGAAGCAGTGGTCATTTCACTTATGGTAAAAGGAGTGTAACGTACGATTATATTATGTTGTTGGGTTGATTAGATACATAATACGCACGTAGTTAGGACAACGAGGTAATCACTGCTAGAGCTGAATTGTCCTGGAGGCGACGAAGAGTCGGAAACGCAAGCTGTAAGTCCTGTACTGCGCAAAGTGCTTGAGTCGGCAGAGTATCAGAATGCAGTGAACGTGTAGATGAATCTGACGAAAGAGCAGCTTTCGTGGGCGCCCCTGTAGAACAAGCAGTGCCCTGGCAGCGACGGAGAGTCGGCAGGACAGGCTGTAGATCACACATTATGTAGTTACTGATGAAGCTGCCAGATGAGTGAGTAGTGATCGTGGAGCAGCAAGCCGTAGTAGATGAAAATGCAGAGACGATCGCGATGAAAATCATAGCTATGGCAAGGGTGTTGGCAACGTTCCATGACAGGTGGCTGCGGTCCACAGCAAGCAGCAGCAGTGGAGGTCCAGGTGAGAGTCCATGTTGTAGTCCATCGTGGCTGGGTATCGTCGAAACTCTCTGGGGTCACCAATGGAACGGTTCTATTGTTACGTAAAGTATGGTGACAATAAACACAGACACTAAGATACTATATATATATTTGGTCGAATATACAGAAGTACACAGGTGATACTTTGGTGTGAGTTGAGCGCACTGAGCGTCGGTACAGCATCTCACAAGTGTCTGCTCTAGACCACACTTGAAAGTAGACTCTGGTTAATGTTTGCTATCCTGCTGCTTATATGCCCGGGCAACGCCTCACCTCATTCATCTCCAAAGGTTGACAGGAATATTAACAAAGCATTTGGAGCGAGTATATTATTGGGATAATCTACTCGCTACACAGTGTTTAGTGAGTTTCATATATATTTAGTAGTCCTGGATACAGCAGTGTCATAGACGTTGAGACGAAGCCTGGAGCAGAGTAGAGAGCTGAGTGAGGCCGGAGTCGTGGAGCTCTATGTGGGAGAGCTTGGCGGCTCGATTGAGAATTGTGAGTGTCTGAACTCGGGGAGCGAGAGCGTGGCGGCTCGATGCTGTCGTAGTCTGCTGTCTGCTCTGTGTCGAAGCTGTAGCGTCTTGGGTCGATTAGGACTGTACACGCCGAGTGCTAAATTGTTGACTGTGGAAATTGAACTGTCTTCTATTCATCAAATCGTTGCTTATATGGTGATTACACCTCAGCTTCCTTCAACAAGGTGAGAAGAGTATTACCTGTAATTGGGGAAAGGATTGTAGCTTCTGTAATTAGTTATGTTATTAAAATAATGAGATAATGGGGCGAGTATAAGATTAACTCGCTACAGGAGAAATGCTTTGAGTGACTCTGTGTACATGCGGCTCAGGCTTGGGTACAAATATTACTGGGAATATGGAATAGGTGTTCATGATAATGACACGAAGTGTAAACTATGTGGTATGTTAAGGTCTTACACCCTAACCCATTATGCTCTTGATTGTCCGTTGATTAATGTATATAGAAACACTGAGATAAGGACTGTTCCTGAACAAATAGTCTGGATGTGTCACAACGGAAAGGTTGATGATATTCTTGAGAGATATAAGAATTTTGCACCAAGACTGTAATTTTTTGTTGAATTATCTGCATGTCTCTTGCAAATTGTCTATACAGTATACCTAGGTCATAAAAGTATTTGTGTGTACGTCTGATACCAGACTACTTGTGTAAAGGAGGAAATGTATATGTTTATCTCTCAGAATGTTCGGTAATACGTTTATTGCTTGTGATGTGTGTATATGTATGTATTAACACGATGTACTGAACGGGGTGAGAATAGCTTGAACTACCTCATCCCTTTGTGTGTATTTTACATCAATAAACTTATTTCAAGTTCTGCACGCACTTAAATTCTCGTTTAACTCCTTCATCCTCACTTTCAGATGAAGTATATGACCTACTTTTCTGAGTCTTAGAATACTTTCGTTTATTTTCCCATCTATCAAAATTTGTCTCACTCCAGGCTTCCCTGGGTCTGCCATAATTAGGTCTCACATCGCTCTTCACTCTGCTTTTCCCTCAAACTCCGATAAGCTTCTGTAATCACATCTGCCCTTTCGGCTGCGTCTCTCACATTCTTCACTCCTGCTTCTTGGATCTTAAATTTCGTTTCAGGGTGCATCATTTCCAGAAATTCCTCCATAATCATCAATTGTTTCAAATCACCATAAGATTTTACACCAACAGCTTCTATCCACTTCTGGAAACGCCTTTCCAGGTCTCTCGCCATCTTAGCGAACGTACTTGCAGGAGCCTTCATCATTTTTCTGAAGCGCTTTCTGTAAGCTTCAGGAGTCAATAGAAAAGAACACAATACGCTGCTCTTCACAGTCCAGTAATCTTGGCATTCCTTAAAAGACAACTGGGTACACGCCTCTCTGGCAGCACTGATCAGTCGTAACTGTACTAATTGAGCTCACTCCTCTTCAGGCATTGTATGTACTAGCCATTGTATGTACATCAGACGGCCACTGTCTGATGTTGGCTATCTTTCCAAAGTGCTCGAAGAAGTTCTCCGACTCTTCCGGCGCCAACAGTGGATATCTTTTTCCCCTAACTTTATTATCGTGTGTGTGTGTGACTCGTGTGTGGTGCTCTCTGGCAACCCACATTCAATCCTATGCTCTGCCAAAGCTCTATTTGCCTCTATCTCCATTTGTTTCGTTCTCTCCTTTTCTCTCTCAACTTGGGCTTCTCTTTTTCTTTCCCCTGTTCTAACTCCAGTTCTCGTATTCAGGGTTTCTCCTTTTCTTTCTCTACTTCATCCTTCATCTGTAGTTCTAACTAAACTTCTCCAGTTGGAACTGCCTCTCTTCATGTTCACGTTGCATCTGACGCTCTAACTGGAACCTTTCCAAGCACCTGTTCCTGCTACTTCTGCTACTGCGGCTACTCCTACTGCTCTTACTTAATCCTTTGGATCTCACTTCATCATGCCTATTAACCTCCTTTCCACTTCGAGCTCCTTTCTGGGCTCTTTGCTGTCACTTCGTTCTTAGCTCTCAACTGCCTAAGGATCTCATCCTTCATTCCGGCCACTTTAGATGACTTCACCTTCACGCCACATTTCTCCGCTATCTGCTTTAACTGCTCTTTGGTGCAACCTTCCAAATATTCAGGCTTGCCTGACACTACAAATGTCTGCACCTTCTCCATCTTGTCCTGTGGGTCTTCCAGAGAGAGAGAGAGAGAATATACCTGTGGTCAGTTAGTTTAGTTTAGTTCATTTATTATGCACCCCATACCGATCTTGTGCTCGGTAGTGGAAAGGGTTACAGAGGCACATAATGGGCTCAGGGACTGAACCCCACAATTCA